AGAGCCCATCACCCTGGGGCCTCCGGCGGCGGGGGGCACAGCCGCCTCCTCCCCCTCTGACCCCTAGCGCAGCAGGTGGGCCAGGCTGGGCAAGCACCCCCCGCGTCGGGGGCTCCTTTCCTCCCAGGATTACACCTGGTGGGGCGCCGATGCCACGGCCTCCCGGTCCCTCCCCCACATGTGTCCAGGCCGGGCCACTCCTGGAGGGGACACTGGGGGTGCCGGTGTCCCTTCCACCTGCTGCGGCTATCGCAGCCATCGCTGGGCGCTGCAATGCGAGCCGGCCCTGGGGAGCAGCAGGGCCTCCAGCGGGACGGAGGCCCCTGTCCCCTCGCCCGGCTCCGGCGCTGGCTGGCTGGCCCCCGCCGCCTCCCAGTTTCCAGAACCCGCCCGAGATGGAATTACAGCCCCGGCCGGCACCTGCGGCAGGCGGCAGTGTCTCCTGGCTCGCCTGGGCGAGGACCGACTCAGATCGGTTGCCTGCTCGGGGCCCAGCAGCAGCCAGGCTCTGGAGATCTCCCGTGGGGAAGGGTGGGGGTCAGGGGCCACTGCGGGAACCAAGGGGGCCGGCCACAGGGAAAGGACGGTCTGAGGAGGAAGGGGGACAGCAAGGCCAAGGCCGGGACCCCCGGGGGTGGCCAGGGGTCCAAGGAGAACGGGGTCAGCGGGCCAGGGTGGCCTTGGATGGCTGAGGCATCAGGAGCTGGGCTCACGTGGGCCTGGGGGAGGCTGGTGGCCGGGAGAGGGGCCCGGGGAGGCGCGAGAGGAGGACCCTCCTGACCGCTGCCAGTCCAGGCCAAGGCTGCTGGTCAGGCCGGGCTGCTCACAGACCCTCGGAGGACAGGCCCCAGCTCCACCCTCAGCCCCCAGGCCTGCCCAGGCCAGGCGCTGGCTGCCACCCCACCCCGGGCGGGCTCGGCCGGCTGCGCAGCTGGCACGGCCCCTGCCTCCTCCCGGCCCTGCCCTCCCCCCACCCGCTGCTCGGCCTGTGGCCCTCGGCCCCCAGCTCCTGGAGGCTCTCTGCCCTGCCCTCTGACACCAGCCCCTCCCGGGCGCACGGCGGGTGCACAGCAGGTGTGGCTCCGCCTCGGCCTCGGAGGGGAGGTCTGGAATGCAGAGCCCCGGTGCCAGGGCCTGGGGGCGGTGGAAGGAGCCAGGGCGCAGGAAGGAAGGGGCTGGCAGTTGGCAGTGGCCTGTCGGAGGGACGGCTGGGGGTGAGCGCTTGGAACGGAGACGGGCGACAGTTGGCGGTGGCAGCTGGAGCGGCAGTTGGGGCTTGGCAGGGGCGCAGGCCCGGAGGACCGAGGGCGGGGCGGCCGCGGGGCTGGCAGGTAGCCCCTGGCCCGCAGCGGCTCCGGAGGGTGGTCTCCGGGAGGCCCAGCGGGAGGGCAGGGCCAGCTGGCAGCAGCCCAGGCTCCGGCCTCGGCAGGCGGCCTCCCCACCTCCGGGCGGGGCTCCGCTGCAGGCCAGGGACGCCTCCGGTCCACCCGCAGGGCCCAGGATGACGCGCCCGGGGCGGCTCCCGCCGCGAAGCCCAGGCATCCTGGGCCCACCGGCCGCGCGCCTCCTCCCCGGCGGTCCTCAGCCTCGCTCCCTCCCTGGGGACCTTCCAGCAGGGCTCGGAGAGGGCAGGAGCAGGTTCTGGGCAGTTCCCGGGGAGGGGGCAGGACTCCCAGGGCTGTTGCCATGGGGACGGCTGGAGAATAAACAGGCAGGTTCCCAGACCAGTGACTGCACAGAAAACCCAGTGGGGGCGGATGGGGAAGCAGTGCCCTGGGGAAGGTGGGGCTTGTGGTGAGGGCCCTGGGGGTGGGGTGTTGCCCGGGGGACACTGGGAAGGAACATATGGAGGAATATTTGATGCCCTTCCCACCGTCTTCCCCAGAGCCCCTCCCGCCTCTGCCTCACAGGGCGGACTCGGGCACCGGAGGCTGGTCCTGGCTCTGCTGGTGGCATCGGAGGGCCCACATGGGGCAAGAGGCTGGGTGCCCTGCCAGCTCCTCTGCCCCCGAAGCCACAGTGGGGCTGGAGGGCAGGCGGAGGGCTGGCCCAGTGCGAGGTGCCGGGGCTGTGGGCACCGGGAGGCCTGCCAGCGTGTGGCTCGCCGAGCCAGCCTGCCCTTCCAAAGCCCGGGGTCCGTAGGTGGGGGTAGGGCAGTGCGCTCTGGGGGGCCGCTGTCAGCAAGTGCTTCTGGGAACCGGACCAGCTCTGGCCCTCGGCCCCTGAGCCCTAGCCCTGGCCTCTCAGACCCTAGACCCACCCCGGCCGCAGGTGTGCCTGGGGCAGGCTCCAGACACGCTCAGCCGCATGGCCGGGGGCGAGCTCCCAGGGTGACCGCCACGCAGCCCTCAGCCGGGCAGAGCCCCCGACGCCACCCCTGGGTCTTGTCCACCAGCTCGGCCAGGGCTCGTCACGGCAGGTGGCCCCCCAACACCGTGGGCCGGCTCCGCTGGCCCTGGGCGCGGGGCCCTCTGGTCAAAGGACCCAACACCGCAAAGAACACCGCTGAGGCCAACCACACACCCTCATCCCCCTCTGTCCCCGGAGCCACTTCCAGGGCGCACCTGCCCTCGCCGAGGCCTCCCGTCTGTGGACAATGAAGAGCCGGACACAGGCCCCTCCTGGGGCCTGGGCCAGGCCTCAGGGCTGAGGGGCAGTGCATGTCGCCTTCAGCAGGGTCTGGGGACCCAGCAAGAGGGGAGGCTTTGCGACCTAGCCCGGCATCTGCCCAGTCCTAGTGGTGACTGAGCCGGCGCTGGGCGCTGGCAGATACCGGGTTCCTGGGCAGGGCTGCGGCATCGCCCCATCAGCGCTGAGCCGGCTCCAGGGCATCCAGCTGCTGCTACTAGTTCTTTTTTAAAACGATAAAGGGGGACATTAGCTCACAGAACAGTAACAGCCTAGAGACGAGGTGGGTTTCAGGCATGGCTTGATCAAGGCTCCCTGGGACTGTTCCAGGTTCTGCCTTTTCAGTGTATCCGCTTCATCTTCAGGCCGCTGGCCCTTCTGTTGGTTCATGGACCAAAAAGATGGGTGTCTCAGCCCCCAGCCAGTGCTGTGGGGAGGGGGGCCTTGATTCATCGTCACACAGGATAGGGGAGCGAGGAGAGGGGGTCCCAGGGCCCCAGGGGCTCACCCCGGAGCTGTCTGCCAAGACCAGAGGCCTCAGGCTGGTGGGGGGCGGGGTGGGCCCCCTCGCGGGCAGGCCTCCTGAGTGCCACTGTGTGCTCTGACCGAGGTGGCCAGAGAAGGGACGGCTTACCAGGGAGGCTGTTCTCCCTGAAGAGTGTCACGCGTGCGCGAGTCCCATTAGGAGAGACGTCAAGGAGGGCAGTGGCCAGGCCCTCCTGGGTCTCAGGGTCGTCCTGAGGCGATACCTGTGCTCTGGGCACGCAGGTGGGGGGACTCTTGCATAGAGACCTCTGTCCCTTCAAAGGGAGGAGGCTGATGACCCTCCCGGAGGCCTAGGGGCAGCCGCTGGTCAGGGTGGCTCTGCCCAGCCCCCTGGCCAAGGCCTCGGAAACTTGGGTCCCCTGTTCCAGACAACAAGGCCGTGGGCGAGCGGGGCCTCCCCGCGGCAGGGTTGCAGGGACCGGCTCCTGGGCCCGCGGTGCTGGTCCGCCCAGCCGTTTCCAGGCTCCGTCAGCCCGCGGGGAGGGAGTGTCCAGCCTCTCCTCCGCGGCTGCCAGACCGACGTTCGCCCTTGTTCGCTCAAGGAGAATTCCACCCCCGCCCCCCACCCGACCGGCCTTCTCCCCGCAGCCAGTGAATGCCTCCTTACACGTCCTGAGAAAGCATCCGTAATGGCCCGCCGCCTCCCACCTCGGGAGGAATTCCGCGGCGCTGGGCCCGCGGGGAGGCAGGGCGCGGACGACCCGCGGCGCCTCCCCATTGGATGGCCGGGCCTTGCTCGACTCCCCTGCGCGGCTGGCCAGCCACAGGCTCACCTCCCTTCCCACCGCCGCGCCCGGGAGAGGAAGCGAGGTGGCCTTTGCCCCCGCACCGGCCAGCCAGGAATGCGGGGCCGCGATTCCCCTTTCGCCCGCCCGAGGGCTAGGAGACCGTGTTAGGGGAGGAGAGACACACAAGGCCCATCCCAGGGCAGCACGATTCGCGATCGGTGATCGCCTGCGGGGGCGCGGGGCCCGTGACCCCTCCAGACAGGCGCAGCGGCGGGAGGGACCACCGCGTGAGGCCGCCGGTGCTCCTAAGTTGGCCAAACCCAAGCCCCAGTGACATGCACCGTGACGTGGCCCGCTCCGCGCGAGGTGCGTCTCCGCCTGGGTGAGCCGAGGTCCCCCGGGGGCGCGAGCGTGCGCTGCCCAGGCCCCCGGCGCTCGCGGGCGCGGGTCGTGGGAGCACTTTCTCACTGCGCGCGCTGGCTAGCGCCGGGCCCGCGGAGCCGCCGGGGCGCGGGGAAGTCTCGAAGTTTGAGAGGCGCGCGCGCGACTGCGCGTCGGTGCGCGGGGACAGCCTGTGGCCCGGAGACCCGCGCGCCCCCGAGCAACTGGCGCGTGGGCAAGGCCGGGGTGCGCAGCCAGAGGCTGAGGGCCCTCGCCCCGACCCGCGTCTCCCACCCGGGTGTCCCCGCCGTTGCCCGGCGGAGAGGGGTGCGGGTGCTCGAAGACCCCACGCCGCGCCGCCCCCGCCCCCCCGCCTGCCCAGGAGAGGGGGCTTCCCACAATGCCCAGCGAGCTCCAGCCCGCACTTCCGCTGTCCGGCCGCCCGCAGGGGGCCCGGAGGAGGACAGACCCCCGCCGCGCCCCCTCCCGCTCCGCGGCGCGAAGCAGGGGGCCAAGCCCGCCGCGGGGCGCGCGGCCCGGCCGGCGGGGGCGGGGCCCGGGGCGGTGGCCGCGGCCGGGGCGCGGCGCGGGCCAATCAGCGGCGGCGGGCGCGCGCCGGGGGCGGGGTCGGGGTCCGCAGGCGGGGCGCGCGCGCGCGGGCGGCGGGGGCCGCGGGGTTGGAGCGGCCGCGGGGGCGCGCGCCGGCCTGACGGACGGACGCACAGACCGACGGACGGAGCAGCCGAGGCTGCCGCGCATCTCCGACCCGCCCGGACGCAGCGCTCGCCCGGCGGCGGCGGCGGCGGCGATCACCGGCTCCGGTCCGGCGGCCGCAGCGCCCGCCCGCGCCCGCGCCCCATGGGGTCACAGGTAAGCGGCGCCGGCTCATTGTCCGCGCGGCCGGCCGGCGCATCGCGGCGGGGCCGGGCGGGGGCCGGGTCGGGGCCGCTCCGAGCCGGGGCCGCTCCGAGCCGGGGCGCGCCGCCGCCGCCTGCCGCCCGGCGCCCGCCGCGCCCCACCCCGCGGGGGCGCCCTCCCGGCGACGATCGGAGCGCCCCGGCTGCGGCTCCGGGGGCGCCGGGGGCGACCCCGGCCCGTCACTGCCGGTCCCCGAGCTCGAGGGTCACGGGGCGGGGCGGGCGAGGGCGGTGCGGGGTCCCCGCGGGGCTGCTCGCGGAGGCGGCGGCGGCGGCAGCGGGACTACCCCGCGCCCCTCGCCCGGGCGCCTCCTGCCGCGGCCGCCGCGGTCCCTCCCCCGTCACCTCCGAAAGGGGAATTTTCCAGCTGGTAATTTCTGCTGCGTCAACGCCCGGCCCCAGGAGACAGCCCGGGGGCGTCCTGGCGCCCCTCGCCCGCGCCGCCCCGCGCGCCCCCCGCCCGCGCCGCCGAGCCGCACCCGGACCCGCCCGCGCCGAGTTTGCCAAGAGTCGGAACTGCGGGAGGTGGGTGCGGGCGGGTCTCCGCGCTCTGTCCTGCCTTGGGGTCATTGTCTCCCCCCGAAGCCGGGCACTGGCCTCGTCTCCATTTTAATGACCGGCGGAATCGGGGCGCAGGGGCCTCGGGGCCGAGCGACCGGGGGAGCTGGAGGGGGCGAGGCGCGCCGAGCGGCCAGGGGCGCGCCGAGCGGACGAGGCGCGCGGAGAGACCGGGGTCCGTGGCGAGCCGTGTCTTTGTTTCTCTGTAAATAGACATGTCAGTTTCACAGGGTAGCGCGAGCCGGTATCTGACAACTCAATCCCGGTGGCGAACGGGGAATTTTCTACGCCGGGAGGAGGGCTCTGGCTAGTTGGGGTGCCGCGGGCCCCGCTAACAAATTCATCACGTGTCGCTTTAACGGACCACGCACAATAGGGCTGGACCAGAGCGAAGAGTGCGGGTAGAAGCCCAACGGGGCGAAGGAGAGAGATTTTCTGAGACCGAGGAAATATAAACAAAAGAAAGTTTCACTGAGGTTCCCAGCGAATTTCCTCCCGCTTTCCCTGCCAGAACCTCAGCGACGGATTACAGTGGCAAGATTGTTACCAGCATTGTTTCAAGAAATGCTAATGAGCCAACGCAGCCCGCGGAGGCTGGGCGCACACACCTGGGCACGGAGTCCTCAGGCGCAGTTTCATTGTATCGGTTGCGGGACCGTTCATACTAGATTTGTTAGCAAAGGTAACGTCCCGTTTGGGTAGCAGACTTGTGGATTCTCGGCTGCTGGCCTGCCTGCTGTGCGCAAGGTAACGTTTCCACTCCAGGAGAGTGGAAATTAGTTCGTTCATCAGAAGATTTATGGAAGCCTTTCCCCTGTGAATCATGAAGAAAATAATAGTATTTTATCGAAGCAGAATTCTTCCATCCGGTGTACTTTCTGATCTCTGTAGACATTTTAAACTGAAACTTGGAGATGCCTTGCTATTCCAGAAAGGATCCAGCCAGTGCCGGGCACATTTAGGCAGAAGTTACCGGACACTGAAGGAGGAACTTACACGCTGTGTCCTCTAAAAAGCCAGTTGTTGTTTTCACATCCCTTATGGGAGGGACCACAGGGAGGGGTCAGGGTGCGCGCTCCCTTTGGGGAGAGGTGGCAGGTGCGCACTCTGGGATGCTGAGAAACCCCAAGCCCAGCCGTTGCTGGACGCCAACGTCAGGACAAGTCGGAGAAGCCTCTTGTGGGCATCCCAGAGGCGAGAAGCTTGTTTCTTTTGGCCGAGGTACTTTCTGCTTAGGTTTGGCTGCTTCGTGTTTGCTGTGCTCAGACCTCCGCCCCTGCCCCCTTTGTGGTTTCAGGACCGGCCGGCCGGCCTGTGTTGGCTGCCTGCTGTGTCCTCGCTCTGTTACCCAGGGCCGCAGTGACCCCTTGCCCCGGGGACACCCCACGCTCCTCGGTCACACATTTGCACCGAGGGCCTGAGGCAAACAGGGACCTGGAGTAAATGCCGTGCGGCGTGACAGCCTTTTATTGCTGGATGATGTATTATTTACCAACACGTTAAGCAGAATTAAATTTTAACAGAGTGAACTTTCCAACGTTGTCCTGATGTGGGGTTTTTCAAATTAAGGGAAATTGGGCCACGCTGTCCCTGTGGTCTGCATTTCTGGGACATCTGTGTGACACTCGCGCTTTGTTCTCAACCAGAGGTCTGAGACCAGCCTCCAGGAGCCCAGAGACCCACTTAGTGCACGGTGAGCAGAAAGTTCCGGGAGCCGTGACCTGGCGCTCACGCCGCGCTGTGCAGGTGCTTTGTGCTCAGGCGCCCTCTTGGCTCCTGTCAAAGTGACGAGAGAGTTGTGGAGACCATCAGTCCTGTCCCCACACCCTGTCTCTCAGCGGTCCCCTGTCCTGGGGGCTTACGCTACCGGCCAACTCATGTGCTCAGAAAAATGCAGGCTTTTCCTTCTCTCTGACTTACCATCTTTTACCCTGAAGTCGGCTGGGGGATGGTAGCTCACCAAAACGTCCCCTTACCCCCGCAAAAGAAATCCTTCTTGTTGCTACAAGCTCACTCCAGCGGCCTGCCTGCCAGGAACGGATGCGCAAGGAGAAACCCGAATCGAGGCCACAGGCGCTGGCAGCCTCGGAAGCGCGGTTGTCTCGTCCCCACCCTGGTTCTCCTGTCCTCTGCGCTGCCAGTGGCGTTGGGGTCTGAGGCTGTGACAGGGCTGACGTCCCCTCCCTTCCTGCCGTGCTGGCTGAAGTGCTGTGTCCCTCACAGGTGCACGTCAGGCCTGTTCCTGGCTGTTACTGAAGACGGGGCGGCCAGGGGTCTCGCTCGTTCTGGTGAGGACGGGGAGCCAAGCCGAACGCTCAGATGGGACCCCCGCCTACGATTTCCGTGAGGTTTTCTGTCGACTCTGCCTCCTAACTCTTGTTTAGAGTTAATATTACTAAGCATTTCTAAACATCATTATTTGGGTTTAAAAAATGACTCACCTGGGTATTTTAGGACAGACAGTTGAGAAGCAGCGTTGGTGGGGTTTCCAGCCGCATTGAGAGCTCCCCTGCTGCGACAGATGTGTGTCCTGAGCCGGATCCGAGACTCGCCCAGGGTCCTCGCTCGTGCAGGTGCTTTGGCCTTTTTGAGGACCCTGCTGTGGAGCAGCCCTTAGGCCCGGCTGGGGACAGAGTCCCCGCAGAGGGGCCGGGGGTGTGTTGGGATGGGGGGCACAGGAACCCCGATGTGACCAGGTGGGGGTCACAAGGGCTGGCGAGGAAAGGGCCCGTGAGCCCAGAGGACGGAGCACAGACTGCAGGGTGGGCCAGGGGTCGTCCAAGGCTCCAGCCGCGGCCGGAGGGAAAGCGTGCCCATGCGGACGCCCCCTCGGCCCCCCACCCATGCGGGACCCCACTGTCCGCCCCGGAGCAGATCCTGGCTGGGCGGCGCGGGCGGGGGGGCCGACTGGCTGCGGGGCGGGCCTGAGGAACCCCACGGTTTCGAGCTCTACCGTCCAGAGCCCCCGCCCCGGCACACACGCACGGACGCAGGCCACGCGTGGTCCTCTGGGAAAAGCGGTCCTTTTCCTGGCCTTCGGGGTAGCACGACGCCACCGCTCGCTCAGGCGGACCGGCGGCGTTGTCCGCTCTCCGCCTGGCCGTCCCTTTCAGCAGGGGGCCTCTCTGCCCTTTCCACTTGCGCGCACAACGGAAGGGGTCCCCGCCCACGTGGCATGACCGGTGTTAAAGTGTTTGTATTTGGGTAAAATCTGGGCAGCGTGGCCTTCGCACGGGACGCAGGCTTTTTGTCTATAAGGCATTTCTGTATCCCTCTTCGCTTCGTCTTTGTCCTTCCACGTCGTGAGCGCACCCACCGGCCCCAGAAGCGAGGCCCCACGGGCGGAACAGAAGCCCTGCGCTGGCCAAGGGGGGGTGCACCCCCACCCTCGCGGAGCAGAAGGCAGGCGCCTGCGTCCCGGGCTACGCAGAGGGTCCAAGGGTCTCAAGTGCACTGAGCTGCCTCCTCCGTGAGGGGCAGACATGCGGGCGGCGCGGCCCCCACGGCCTTGGGCGGTCACCTTGTCAGCGGGGGCCGCCCGGCCACAGGAGGGTCCGTGAGGAGCACCCAGCTGTACAGACACACCCGGGGCGTGGAGAGTGGGGGACTCCTCGCCGGGCAGAAGGACAAGCAGCCCGCCAAGCCAGGCCTGCGCCCGGGGGCCGCTCTGCCGGCCAACGTCCTAGGGACCAGCCGCGGGAAGTGCCGGCTCGGGGGCTGCCGCGCTGGGCCGGCCGCAGAGGGGCGTCAGGGCTGGGCCGCGGTTCCCGCAGTGCGGTCTCTCCGGAAGTGCTCGCACGCGTGCAGCCCGAGGGTCGCCCGTGCGGCAGGGGGCAGCATCCGCGCCGAGCGACATCTGCCCGGCTCCCGGGGCGCTGTGTGCAGAGGGGGCCGGGGTGACAGAGCGGAGCCGGACACGGGGTGGCCCCGCAGGGCCCGGGACGAGGCCCGTGTGGTTTCAGGTGTTGTGACCACGGGCTGCCCTGCAGACTCAGGAGGGGGATCGGCGCAGGGACTGGGCGTGAAACAGCCAGGTGCTCCGGCTCCGAGGGCTCAGGGGCTTCCACTCGCGCTCGGTGTGGTCGCTGCCACCCCAGGGAACCGGCTCTGTGGCCGAGGACAGGCCCGGCCTCTGGTCTCTGCCGAAGCCACGTGGCACCAGAGCCACGCCCCTCCCGCCACCTGCGCCGAGAGCCCACGTGTCAGGCGATGTCCGCACCGGCCCTGTGCCGGGCGCCCTGGGCCCACGTCCTCACGCGCAGGGCAGAGCTGCTGTCAGGCCCCACGTGGCAGCGTCCCCGGCGAAGCGGGGCCACCGCAGCGACCAGGACACAGGCGAGGAGGGTGCAGACGGGCATCGCTCGCCTGCCTGGGGAGGGGCGGCGGGTGCGCTCG